TTTTTTAACCTGTATGCTGTATGCAGCTAGAAGACACCAAACTCCCCATTCATTGCATCCAGCAAAGCAGCAACTGCTGTAACGCAAATGTCCGATCCTGAGCATGCTGTGGCGACCTGCAGATCCCGTCCATCCAAAGTGTGTGCAACCTGTTGCAATCGTTTATGCAGACGGTTGGGTAAGAGGCGCATGAAGAAGCCGGAGGTTGAAAAGAGTGATGGCTTTGGAGGAGGCACTTCAACACCACCAAGTAGTTGTGCTTTGCGGCACCGGAAATGTCTATTTCTAAACTTGCCACTGGCAAACTTGATCTCAAGCGGTGTTAGGCTCTTGGTGGAACCCACCTTCCAAACAAACACCTTGTGGTCAGTTCTGACCCTCTCCCTCCAAAACTCCTCATCCCTCTTGTTGAGCCCAAACTTTGCAATGTCCTTGTGTTTGGTCACCTCTTCACAGGCATCGACCCTAATTGTACCAACGTAGGCAAATCCACTGCCTGACTGGAGGCTTACAATCACATGAAAGAGGTCAGGAAGAACCACCAGGGCGTAGTTTCGAGGCAAATAGCCTTCACCATGCTTGGTCAAAGAAGTAAAGTATCGCTCTTGGAGCATTAAGCATTTCACGGTGGACACATCCTCTGGTGTGGTCTCTTCTGTGTGTGGCTTGATCCTTCGTTTTTTCACGGGTGTGGCCACCTGCTCAGGCGTCGCTCTTCTTTTCTTGGCTTGGATGCTTCTCCGTACCTCATCTAACGCTTTCTCTCCTTCTGTCATTCCCGGCTCTGGTTTCACTGTCAACCGCTCAGATTGAAAGAAGTCTTGAATATCTTGCATTGTTTTTCTTGAGATCCTTGCGCTGCTCTTGTTTTGCTTCATGTGCTCTCGTGTTCCACTCCTCAAAGAATCTGCTCGCCGCCGCCATACCAGTGGTGTCACTATCCTGACACCCTGAGGTGGTGACACTGGCGTGATCGCGGAACCTTCACTCTTCATTTCAACCTCATTCAACTCCGGTGAGGACTCAATCATTTCAAGCTTGACTTCTTTCAGTTCTGGGACTGCCAGGGAGCGGGTTGGATGTTCTATGTGGGGGGCGGACACTGGTGCTGTGCTGTTCCGATCCTTCTGTGCTTCCAGCTGCTTTTCTCCTAAAGCCTTTGGCTTTGGTGGTGCCTTGGCTCTTTTCCCCCCTTCCATCTTTGGGTTGCTTTCTGTTGACTCTGGTTGTTTTGCCTGTTGAGGTGTCAAATCGTGGGGAAATATGCATCCGTCCTGGATGCGGAAAGTGACACACTCCTT